CCAAGATGAGCTTGTGACGATATGGAGGAGAGGTGGTTTAGGAAAAGCTTCATGGGACGGGTATGTCTCTGAGCTGAGATATAAAGGAGCATAGTAATAAAACAGGCTGAAGTGGTAAACTTTTGTCAAGTTTCCCCCGTGGAGTTTGTATTTTAAAGGACATTATCTACCCTCTCCCCAGAACAAAGCCTCTGTGTTTATTAAATAATATTGGATCAAGAACCTCTCTAACAGTCAATCAATGTTTATAGTCAGTGTAAGATGACCAGTGTTACTCTACTATTTTACCATTATTTCTGCCAAAAGCAAAGGTATTTGTCCCTTGAGATTTTCTTGTGAAGTATTTTCCTGGCGAAAGTGTGATTTTCCTTATGATCTTTGAAATACTGATGTAGCTACAGAACTCTTTCCTGATTACTTTCAAAGACAACCTTCCCTAAGCTGGGAAAAACAATGTAGAGAAAATTATATTGCAAAGAACCTCATTAATAAGAGCAATGAGAAGAAAGCTTTGTCCTTTGGGGATGGCTTGCACTACTGTTTTTCTTCTGAGGCACTACTGTTTTCTTCAGATTCCAGCCCCTTTTACAGAGGTACTACAAAATAAGTGATACAGTGATCATCATCATCATCATCTGTATAGCATTGTTATTTTACAAAAAGATTTTTATAAAAGTACCTATTATGGGTTGTTTGAACTGTAAGCAAATCCAGTTTTGCCACCTCAGGCAAATTTCTTAATCTCTTTTAGGTGCAGTTTCCTCATCTATAAATTGTGGCATTAACATCCACAAAAAAGGAGCCCTCTTGGCAAAATTGTTAAGTGCTTCGCTATTAACTGAAAGGTCTGTGGTTCGAACCTATTTAGTGGTGCGGTGGGAAAAAAAGACTTGGCAACCTGCTCCCGTAGAGATTACAGCCTAGGTCACCCATGTTTGATTTAGATGATTCAGAAGATGAGATATTGGGCTTGTAGTTGATTTAAGACTTTTGGGATGATGTGATGGGGTGAATGGGTTTTGCATGCACAAAGGACATAAATTTTGGGGGGCCAAAGAGTGGAATGTTATGGATTAAATTCTGTCCTCCCAAAATATGTGTTGTAAATCCTAACCCCTATACTTGTAGTTATAACACTATTTGGGAACGAGTTTTCTTTGTTGTGTTAATGAGGAAGTATTGGTGTAGGGTGTGTCATAAGTCAATCTTTGTTTTGGGGTGGTGCTCATTTTTTTATTTTTTAAAATAATATTTTATTGTGTTTTCGGTGAAGGTTTACACAGCAGTTTAGGTTCCCATTCAATAATTTCTACGTAAGTTGTTCAGTGACATCAGTTACATTCTTCACAATGCCTGAACATTCTCATTATTTCTGTTCTGGTTGTTCTATATCCGTTAATCTAGTTTCTCTGACCCCTTGTATCTCATCTTTGTTTTAAAAGTAATAGTTGACCATTTGGTCTCACATAGATGATTTTTTTTTTTAAAGGAGCACAATACTTACCAGGGATATCCATTATTTTTTGAGCCGATTTGTTATTTATCTACAAGGTTTGAAGAGTATCTGAGGGCGGTAGTCTCGGGGAGTTCTCCAGTCTCAACCAGTCCAGTAAGTCTGTTCTGTTTGTTTGTTTTTAGGAATTTGAGGTTCTGTTTCACGTTTTTCTCCCATTCTCTCAGGGTCCATCTATTGTGGTCCTGATTAGAATGCTTGGTAGTGGTAACCAGGCCCCATCTAGTTCTTCTTGTCTCAGGGTAGATGAGGCCATGGTTCGTGTAGACTATTTGTCCTGTAGACTAGTTTCTTCTTTGGGTCTTTGGTTTCCTTCTTTCTCTTTTGCTCCAGACAAGTAGAGACCAATAGTTGTATCGTTGAGGGCTGCTCACAAACTTTTAAAACCCCAGACACTACTCACCAAACTAGAATATAGAAGATAATTTTATGAACTATACTATGCCAATTGATCGAGATGTCCCATGAGATTATGGTCCTAATCCTTCAAACCCAGAAATCCGATTCTGTGAGGTGTTTGGTTATGTCTAAGAAACAAGAAATATCCGTAACTGTGTCCCCTATGTGCTTTATTATATATATGAATGTATGTGTATACAATCACATGGATGCATATACATATGCATACACCTATATATACACATATATACATACCTACACACATATATGTTATATGCCTACATATATACCCACAGATATATATTTTTTGTTGTTTTTGCTGTTGTTACAAAATCATTTATACCATAGCAATTACCAACAGGTTGTTTTTTCTTGTGTACTTTTTAGTGACATTGTTTACCTTTGTCAAGCTGTGTACACTTCACCCTCATTTGGTGTTACCTTTCCCATCACCAAAATTAACAAGTGTCTGCTATCTACAGAGTGAATCCCTCTCCCTCCTCCCAATCCCTAGTAACCACTAATAAACATTAGTTTCTGTATATTTACCTGTCCATGTCATTTCATAAAAGTGAGAACATACAATATTATTTTTGCGTGTGTGATTGACTTATTTCACTCAACATAATTTCGTCCATGTTCCAAGATGTTTCGGAACTCATTTTTCTTTATCACTGAGTAGTATTCCATTGTATGTATGCACCACATTTTACTTCTCCATTCATCCATTGATAAGCACTTAAGTTGTTTCTATCTTTTTGCTATTGTGAATTGTACTGCGATGAACATAGATGTCATATGTCTGTTCGTGGCACTTCTATTAGATCCCTAGGGTATATGCCTGGGAGTGAAATTGCTGGGTCATATGGCTCTACTTCTAGTTTTTTTGAGGAACTGCCAGACTGTTTTCCACAACAGCTGTACCACTTTCCATTCCCATCAGCAATGGATAAGGGTTCCAATTTCTCCACAAGGTCAATCTCTTTTGAGACATAAAAGAGCCTATTAAGCCAGCCAGAAGCAAGCAAACACAGATGGGAGAAGATAGACATCATGCCACATGAAGGTCACGAAGGAGTCAAGGAACAGAAGCTGAAAAGCGATAAAGACCCCCCGGACCTGACAGAGAGAAAGCCTTCCCCTAGAGCCAGCACCCTGAATTCAGACTTGTAGCCTCTTAAACTGTGAGAAAATAAATTTCTGTTTGTTAAAGCCAAAAAAAAAAAAAAAAAAGATTACAGGCTAGGAAACCCTATAGGGCAGTTGTACTGTGTCATATGTGTCACTATGAGTTGGAATCAACTGGATGGCATACAACATCCACATGGAGGGTTGCTATGAGAAGTAAGTGAGATTCTGAATATGAAATGCCATGGACAGGCCTGATATTTAGTAGGTATACAGTGTTAAGAGTTAGATCCCATTACTTTTGTCTTTATTTTTCTTGAGAAAATTCCCATTTTTTCTACTCTTCTTCAATTGCCTCACTCCTCTCAACTCATGACAAGAATTTAACCATTTTGTCAGATTCACTCCAACCAACCTATTGAAACTAAGGCTCCAGGATGCAATTTGAGGGGTACCAATGTGTCCCTGAATTTGACCTTTCTGACATTCGCTGGTTCTCTTTTTATTCTTTTTTCTGGTTCTTTAGGTATCACATGGTCAATAAGAACAGGGTGTTTTAGTTATGACTAATATGCTTTCTAACTCCAGAAAAACTTGAGGCAGTTTTCAAACTTCGATCACACATGAAAAAGGAGAGCCATACATCAAAGAAAGATGACAGCCTATTAGAAAGAGAATTGTGTCAAATCTAGAAGGGACTTTATATGGATTCATTCCAATTTTTCAAGCTGAAGGTTACAATCATTATTGGGTCATGAAATTAATAGGGATTATATGTATGCATTGTACGTATGCATGTATGGAATTGTATGTATATCCTGGTAGTGCAGTGGTAAAAGTGCTTGGTTGCTGCACAAAAGGTCGGAGGTAGTTTGAACCCACCAGCCGCTCTGTGGGAGAAAGATGTGGCAGTCTGCTTCCGTAAAGATTTACAGCCTTGGAAACCATATGGGGCAGTTGTACTCTGTCCTATAGGGTCCTGTGAGTTGGAATCAACTCGAAGGCAATGGGTTTGGTTTTGTATGAGGATAATATGAATTTATTAAATTTTACTTTCAGTTATATACTTTGGCATGTGTTGTAAAATGTATTTAGTAAAAAAAAGTAAAGAGCTTGAAAGCTAATGTATTAAGTTACTAATAGTTAACTTCTGTGACTTGGCTAGTTGTTAAAACTGGGAAAGATCTTGGTTTAAAAAACCTTTATTAAACACTTACTTTGTGTCAAACATTCTACTACATGAATAAAATTTTCTTTCTTTTTTTCTCTTCCCTAATCCTGATATTTAATCAGTTCATAAACCACTAATATGTTGCATTGTAAAACAGGTAGCCTCTGTCAATTCCGTTTCTTTTCACCCTTCCCGGGGCCTCTGGTACAAGTCTGAGAAGATTCCTATTACTAAACAGACTGATACTAGGTAATAAAATGAAAATTCCTAAGTAGAGTGAAATTGAGCTTCCCTGACGCCCCTGGGAATTGCTTCAGCTTTAACCATTAACCCACTGGGCTCTTTTTATTCCGAATTTTCTAAAGTTTTGCATCAATATGTGGGGAGGATAGAGAAGGGGAAGGAAGACAGAGGGAGGCTTTAAGGAAGGGTTTTGAGCAAGGCAGTTGTTTGGAGGGTGTGATGAATTGTTGGGAATGGAGGGGAGAAGGGGGACGCTGGTACACAAAAGGCTATCTCCGGCTCAAATTTCGTTACTAAGGCTCTATGAGTTGATTTTTTTGGGTGGGGGTGGGGGGTGAACAATCACTCCAAAAAAACTAGGAGTGTGTGTGTGTGTACGAGGGGCCGGCCGAGGGTCACCACTTTATTATGAGTATCATTCTCCACATCTTTGTCGGTATTTCAGAGCTGGGCAGGCCAAGCTTGAGGCTGCGGTGGGGGACGCCTCCCAGTACTCAGCCCGGGACATCCTGAACAGCAGCAGCCACAACAACAGACTCGCGCCGGGACAAAGGGGCCGGCGCGGGGGTGCAGCCTCGTGCAGCCCGGGCCGCGGGCCTGAAAGCGCGCGCTCGCAGAGCGGGGTCCAGGCTGCGGGGTGGGCAGTGCAGAGCCGGCGCCGACCGCGGCTGCGAGGTCCGCAAGACCCGGCTCCGGGCGCAGACCTCTCCCGAGCTGGCTCGGCGCCAGACCTCCGGAATTCCACTCACTCTTTGACCCTCCGTACCCACCCCCTGCAGATCGCACAACTGTAGCGGCAGCCGGGGCCGCCGCCCGCTGCTTCTCGGGCTGGCCGGCGGAGAGCGCAGCGCGGCGGGACCGGCGGCATGGCTGTGTCCTGGAAGAGCTGGCTGGCCAACGAAGGGGTTAAACACCTCTGCCTGGTAGGATGGCGGGCAAGGCTCTCCTTGCGTTTTGTCTCTTGTGCAGTGATTTTGATTCATTCTCTGAGCGTGCGCGTGTGGGAAGAGGGAAGTGGAAGTTTGGCCTCTTCTTCGAACATTTTTTACTCATAAAACTTTCCATACCTAGAGATAATAACCACCTCCCTTCCTCCAAATCCATGTGAACTTCCCTACAAACTGATAGGAGAGCGGATGTGGAGGAAGTGGGAAGTGAACACAGCTTTTTCTTAACCCTTTGAACATTTTCCCGTTTCCTCTTGTCCCCGATTGTTTTTTGGTATATTGTTTTTAACAACATAACACTTGTCTCTAATTTCTTAGTCCCATTTTATACAGCAGGGGAGATCTGTAGATATTTCGGAGACCTGTTTGCAACTCAAATGCCTAATTAATCTCAGGTGAAGGGACAAATGAGGTCAGGTTTTCCTCTCCCCATTGAGTGGTTTTCAGCTTGCTGATTAGTTGAGAACGCTTGCTTTCTGCAATTTCTGATTGTCTGAGTTCCCTTGAAAGTATAGTGTCCAGTGAATGAATGTGTGGTTTCTATTCATCAGGTAGCGTTTAATTTTTGTTTTCTCTTTCCCTTTGTCTGATTGTTCTAGGTCATCTGGCTTTCCCTGAATGTCCTGCTTTTTTGGAGAACTTTTCTGCAATATAACCGAGGGCCAGAGTATCACTACCTCCACCAGATGTTGGGGGTAAGTGGGGCTTGGGCAACCTGGTGGAACGGGCTTAATGCGAGGAGACATTGCTACAAGGCTTGGCCATTTCTTCCATTCTCTGAAGAAACATTTGTTCTCTAAAGAGGTCAAGACAGTTTTCTTGATTTGCCCAGATTAAAAGGAGCTACTCATTTAAGAAATGAAAATATCTGCTCAATGAAAATGAAGGAACCTGCAGGACCCTAAACTAGTGCCTCAGAAAAGATCTGCTTCATCAGGAGGACTGATGACAGGCTTTTAGTTTTCACTTATCAAGACTTTCAGCTGCCCAGAGAGCTTACTCAGAGAATTTGGGCACTGTTTCCTTTTACTTGCAATTCTCACAAAGTCTCTATCTAACGGAGTTACTCATTTCTAGGCATTTCTCAGCTCCTTTTCCTGAGGTTAGTGGCCAATTGTGGTTTCAGTGCTCCGGTCTCATATAAGAATGATGTTGTGCCAAGTGTTTCTCTGGTTTATTTTTCTGTTGAAGCAATCTTCCTTTTCCTATTCTGTGATGTTTCTGATCTCATTCTTCCTTTCTGTCACCTTCCTACTTGACTCCGTCACAAAACACAGTGTTGCTGAGGACATCTTACTTTGTACAGGGAGATGGCATTCTACATAGGAGATGAATTGCTTTGTTCTTCATGGTTTAATGACTAAAGTTATGAATAGTGCAGATGAGTTTAGTGAAGCAGCCACCTGTTTCATGCTTTACCTGTGTGGACCTTATTCATCTTGAGACCTCAGTGCCTATCGTAGTACTTGGCACATGTTAAGCTTGCAATAAATAGCACCTAAATTAATTAATTGATATTTTATTTTACACAATGTAATACTAATTTCTGTTATGCATAGATCACACAATTTTTATTTTTTTCAAGTTTAGTACATATGTTTTTAGCTGATGGAGTGAGAGATTGTCTCAGAGACTGAACTCACTTTATCGCTAACTGAAGTTTGAACACTCATTTATTTCTTTCATTTATCCATCCTTCCATCCTACCATCTGTTGTTGTTGTTAGGTGCCTTCAAGTCAGTTCCAACTCATAGTGACCCTATGTACAAAAGAACGAAAAACTACGCGGTCCTGCACCATCCTCACAATCATTGCTGTGTTTGAGCCCATTGTTGTGCCACTGTGAATCCATCTCATTGAGGGTCTTTCTCTTTTTCTCTGACCCATTACTTTACCAAGCATGATTTCCTTGTCCAGGGACTGGCCCCTCCTGATAACATGTCCAAAGTATATGAGACAAAGTCTCCTCATCCTTGCTTCTAAGGAGCATCCTGGCTGTACTTCTTCTAAGACAGATTTGTTCATTCTTTTGGCAGTCCATGGTATATTCAGTGTTCTTCCCCAGCACCATAATTCAAAGACATCAATTCTTCTTCAGGCTTCCTTAATCCATTGTCAAGTTTTTGCATGCATATGAGGTGATTGAAAATACCATGGCTTGGATCAGGCCCACCTTAGTCCTTAAAGTGACATCTTTGCTTTTTAACACTTTAAAGAGGTCTTTTGCAGTAGATTTGCTAAATTTAATGTGTTGTTCAATTTCTTGACTGCTGCTTGCATGGACATTGTTTGTGGATCTAAGTAAAATGAAATTTT